TGCTTGTGCTCCCATGTGTGCATGCTCTCCTCTCTCTCTCTCTCTGACAAAGAAATAAATTAAAACAAAACAAAACAAAACAAAACAGGGGCTCCTGGGTGGCTCAGTCCTTAAGCATCTGCCTTCAGCTCAGGTCATAATCCCAGGGTCCTGGGATCAAGCCCTGCATTGGACTCCCTGCTCAGCGGGAAGCCTGCTTCTCCCTCTTCCACTCCCCCTGACTGTGTTCCCTCTCTCACTGTGTCTCTGTCAAATAAATAAATAAAATCTTAGAAAAAAAAAACAAAAAACAAAAAACAAAAAACTAGCCTATATCATTTAGCATAATGCCATCAAGGTTCATCCACATTGAGGCATAAGTCAGAATTTTCTTCCTTTTAAAGGCTGAACAATATTCCATTGTATGAATATACCACATTTTGTTTCTCCATTTATGCAATCATGGTTATTTGGATTGTCTCAACCCTTTGGCTATTGTGAATAATAATGGCAAGAGTATGCAAGTTGTCAAGTGTACAAGTTGTCCTTGAATGTTTCAACTGAACAGCAAGATACATTAAGATAGACTTCAATATTTCTTAATTCTGATGAAGGAGGCAAGAACAAATCAATCCTAGATCTATCAGAAACTTCTTTCCTGTGCTTCCAAAGAGTAGAATACTTCTGCTGTGCGTCTGTTTGAGAAGCTCTCTTCATCGTGTACACCTGTTTGAGGTCCCTTAAGAGCACTTCAGATATCGGTCGGTAATTTCAATATTTTAGTTGTGATTTAAACATTTTGTCTAACTATATGAAGGCCCTCTCATGAGTAAAGTACTATAAAAAGCTTTTTAAAATATTTATTTTGAGAGAGAGAGCACGCACACATGTGAGCAAGCAGTGGGGGGCAGGGGCAGAGGGAGAGAGAGAATCTCAAGCAGGCTCCATGCCCAGTGTCGAGTTCAACTTGGGGCTTCATCTCAGGACCCTAAGATCATGACATGAGCTGAAATCAAGAGTCAGATGCTCAACGGACCAAGCCACCCAGGTGTCCCTATAAAAAATGTTTTAAAAAGTGAAGTTTAGGGGCGCCTGGGTGGCTCAGTGGGTTAAGCCTCTGCCTTCAGCTCAGGTCATGGTCCCGGGGTCCTGGGATTGAGCCCCACATCGGGCTCTCTGCTTCGCAGGAAGCCTGCTTTCACCACACCCTCCCCTCCCCCACCTACCTCTCTGCCTACTTGTGATCTCCGTCTGTCAAATAAATAAAATCTTAAAAAAAAAAATGAAGTTTAAAATTATTTTTTTTAGGGACACCTGGCTGGTCCAGTAAGTAGAGCATGTGACTCTTGATTTCAGGGTTGGGAGTTCGGGCCCCACACTGGGTATCGAGATTACCGAAAAATAAAATTTTTAGAAAATAAAAAATAAAATGTTTTTTTAAGAATTTTATTTTATTATTTTTTTATTTATTTTGAGAGAGAGAGCACAAGCCAGGGTTGCAGCAGAGGGAGAGACAGAGAATCTTAAGCAAGCTCCATGCCCAGCAGGGAGTCCCACACAGGGCTCAATCTCATGACCCTGAGATCACGACCTGAGCCAAAATCAAGCATTGGTTGCTTAGCTGACTGAGCCACCCAAGGCACCCTCTAAAATGATATTTTTTAATGTGTAGAAATTGGTTGCTTTGGAGAGCCAGGAAACTGGTATTTGGGTAGCCTGAAGCCTGAAGAAGGAGCTGATGGTAATGAACAAGATGTCCACAGATGAGCAAAATAAAATGCTTTGAATAGGTAGGAAGTGTACTTTGCATTTTTTTCAACAATTCTTACATAATGGTTCTGATTTAAATTTTTAAAACATTATAAAATCTGCATGTTACATTAATATGTACAAATAATAACTCCAAATATGCATATAATTTTAAAAAATTTTAATTGCATGGTTTTTTTTTCCTTCTTCACTCTACTTCCTGTCTCTTTTGGTGCATATTTTTGCGGCAGATGTGTGGCGAATGCAACCTAATACATTCCTCAAAGCTATCTGGTTCATTGATGTCATCTTTTCTTGTTTGAAAGCACTGTTGCATATTTAATTTTGTCTCTGTGTGTGTGTGTATCTTTGGCCACTTTACTGAAAGAGAACTTTCAGGGGTACAATGCCGTCTTGAAACCAAAAATTGAAATATTTTGGTGAAATCTAGATATGGACACAAAAAGAGCTCTCTCTAAATTCTCCTTAAGAAGATGGTGTATTGGCCATGCTCTCTTAAAAGAAAAACATTTTTCTTAAGCTAAAGATTTTCTCAGCAATAATCCCACTGTTGCAAATTGAATACTGGTTAAATATTCTGTTTTAATTCTGGTGACAAATACCGACCAGGAGATAATTTTTCATTCTGTGATTCCATGAACTCACTATTGGGTAAGAAGTAATTCTTTTTACCATAAATAAATAAGTAAATAAAAATAAAAATAAAAATTAAAGAAAGAAACAGAATGAGTCAATAAAAAGAACTCATGAGAGTCACACAATCAATGTAGAATATGGATTGGGCTAGTACAAAATTGTCAAAATATTAAAAACGTGATTCATGCAAATATAAAAAGAAAACCTAAGATTTTATTCAACTAATTAATTCATGAGGGCCTCAGCAAGATGTTGACTTCAAAGGAGTACTAGTAAGATATCAAGGTTCCAAGGAAAATTTAAAGAATATACAATACATACACATATATTTATCTGTTAGTTGTGATAAGATGAATTTGCTAAATGTGAAACTAGCTGACATCATATAAGACAAAATCTTATTATTAGATTTGTCGTATTTTTACCTGGCAGGAATCACTTCCATCTCTACTGGAAAAATTAATTTGCAATGTTATGGACAAGAATCTTTTGCACTTCAATTTTCTGCAAGTGATCTTTTTATTTTTTTTTTAAGATCTTATTTATTTATTTGAGAGAGATCACAAGTAGGCAGAGAGGCAGGCAGAGAGAGAGAGGGGGAAGCAGGCTCCCTGCTGAGCAGAGAGCCCGATGCGGGGCTGGATCCCAGGACCCTGGGATCATGACCTGAGCCGAAAGCAGAGGCTTAACACACTGAGCCACCTAGGCGCCCCTGCAAGTGATCTTCTATCTCTATCTACAGAGTTGTAAAAGAGCCTCGTCAATAAAAAGTCCATCAAATGTACACAACCCTATAGAATTAGATAATCCCCAGAAGGGTTACAACACCCACCACCCTGCTGAAAATACCCAGTAAACTTGCCCATTTCAAGGTTTTGGGCTATTTTTCCTGATATCCCCAATTAAAAAACTATGTGTACACACACACACACACACACACACACACACAGATATATTTAAATTTTCTGATTTACTCTGCAGGAGACATGCCAGAGAAGAAGGCCAGCTTAACAGTATCCTAAAGGAATCTATTTTTGTGGAAACAATGACATGGTTTCAAAGTTCACAAAGAGTTGAGCTTAACGAAAACTTTGTCTAAATTAGAGAGGATAGACCCCTGTAACCCAACTGCCCCTCTACCACTCCCCAAAGGGGCTCTTATCTTTGTTGAACAAAAAATAATTAGCTAGAAAGCCTGCTGCAAAAGAGCTGAGGCAGTTTATTTTTAACTACTTCTTTTTAAGGTTGCACAAGTTTGGTCCTTATATGGGTGTGTTCATGGGTGGTTAGGTTTAGGGCAGGCTTATGGTAGAAAGAGAAAGCAAGTGAGGATATGGGTGAAGTAGTAGGGGCCCTGCTCTTGGACAGACCTGCCAAAGCTCTAAGCCTTCCAACTGGAACTTATTCCCATCCCACCGCAGCCTCTCCCTACCCCAATTTGCAAATAGTCTCTTTGGGTCTCTACCTCAGTGACTTCCACCATCATCATCCACCCAGCTGCCCACACCAGAAATTTCGGTGACATCTGTAATTTCTCTTTCCTTCTCCTCAACATTCTACTGATCATAAAGTCCAGTGGATTCCACCCAATACCACTCTCGTTTGCCACTTTTCATTGCCAATGCTCTGCTCCTGGACGTGTTCTCTCTCGCCTGGATTACTGCAGCAGCCCCAGGCTGGTCTTCCGGCCTCCCTAGCCCCAGTCCAGATCCCATAGAGCAGACATGCGAGCTTTTCCTGATGAGGTCACTCTCTGCTTAAAACCCTATTACAGCTCCTGAGCAACCTCCTTTCCTTGGTTTATGAGGTCGTCCTTATCTCTGAAGCTTAATGCCTCTCTCCAACCATCTGTTCCCACTCTAAGGAGATCCTCCCCATTTCTAGACTAAGCTCTCAGGTTCCTATCTCTCTCTATAAGCCCTTCTCACCGCTTAGATTCCCCTCCCACGTCTTTTTCATTCTCTGGGTCTTAGCTTACTTCCTCTAGAAGCCTTCCCGACGCCCCAAGCAGAAGGTCCTCGGTGCAGCAGGAACGCCTGTCTGCTCCTCCCCCACCACAGCTCTGTCGCCAGGTGCAATCCTGCAACCTGGTCGCCTGTAGCCCTTGGGTTGGACTGGACCGTTGGCTTCTTGCCCTCACCTTGTCCTTGGAACGCCAGCCACTTCACCCACTTCTCTTTCCCCTCCTCAAAGATTCCCGCTCCTTCTGCCCCTCGCCCTTCTTTCTCTGCCACCGGGGTGCCTCCCTGAGACCCAAGAAGCCTCGGATCTCCCGTTCGTCTCTTTTGCTTGAAGCACGTTTCGTCCTGGCACGGTCCGGGACTCTAGGGTCAGCTCTGTCATTATGTGCTGGGTGTCTGTCCCTACTTGCAGAACGTCCGCGCCGAGGATGCCGGACCCTGTCGCTCTGCTCGCCGTGTCCCCCGGCGGAGCAGGTGCGCGAGCGAGTGGGGGGCGTGGAGCGAACGAGCGTCTTGCGGGCGCGCGGGCCACGCGGTGAGGAAGGGCCCGCGCTCAGCCACCTCCCCGGGACCCCGCGGCGCCGGAAGCGGCCGGGGCGGCCCCCTCCCCGCGGGGCCCGCCGCCTTATCTCGGCGCCTCGGGGCCTCGGGAGGAGTCGCGGGCGCGCCGGGAGGGACGCGGCGGCGGCATGGGCCGGGGGCCCCAGGGCGCGGGCCGCCCGCCTCGCCGCCTGCTGTCGCTCCTGCTGCTGCTCGGCTTGGCCCGCGGCGCGAACCCAGCGCTGGGCGCCGACGGTGAGTGCAGGCGGGGGGCGGGCGCGGCGCAGAGGCACCGCTGGGCCCTCGACGACGCCGGGCGCGCCCGGGACGCTTCCCCACCCCCCACTCCCGGGGCAAGGCCGGCGCGGGGCCCGGGCGTGGAGCGCAGGTGGGGCCCGCTCGGGCCGTTGGGGCTCGGGAAGGCGGGGTGCACCGAGGCAGGAGGGGCTCCCCGCCCTCGCCCCAGGCATCTGGGGGCGCGGGGTGGGGGAACCTGTCGCAGGCGGCCTCGCCCTTGGCGCGGGGGACCTGTGGGGTGAGACGGGGGTGGGCGCGAGCCGGAGCCCCGGGGGAGAGCCGCGCCCGGCCTGGAAGGGCGTGGAAGGGCGCGGAAGGGCGTTCCAGCTGCGCTGTCACGCTTCCGGCTCTGCTGTGGCTTTTGCACGACAAATTATTGACCTGAAGCAATTTTCTTTCTACCTTTTAATTTTTTTCACCTAAGTGAAGAACCAGATGCTAATGTGTGAGAAAGAAGTTCAAGGAAGATTACAGGAAAAAGGCATTCTTTAATCAAGTCATTCGTTCAACAGATGGTCCTTGAATCGTTTCCTTGTGCAGGATGTGAGGTCGCCCCGCTGGCCCTCATTGAGCTCCTGTTCTGGAGGCGACAGACGAGCAGATCACCCATTTCCAAGCAAATTGGAACGCACTGTCACATGTGGTAGGAGTTACACAGATTCAAACGTGTAGGGGAGGTGGCATTTACCCACTTAACCCAAGTAATCCTAATAGACGGCAGAATGCCTAAGTGCTCTGAGAAGGTGTAGGTGGTCAGAGCAAGGCGAGCTTCGTTCTAGCTTGGTGAACCTGGAGGCATTAGAGATGAGGTGATTCTTGAACTGGGCCAACAGGTTTGATAATATTTGGGTATGGGAAGATGAGGAAAAGGCATCTCAACTCATAGCAGAGGGCAGCCAGCCCTCCATAAATATATGCAGAATGAATGAATTCCACATGGAAGGGGCAGTGTGATGTACATGGAGGTAGAAAAGCAGGGGGCCTGTGGCCTGTGGTATGCAGGAGATGGGTGGGAAATGGAGGTGGAAAAGCAGATTGGATTAACCAAAAGGCAGAGTGCCTTGGTTGGCAGACCAAGTTACTTAGAGTCAGCGTTCCTGGGTGGCGGGAAGACGTTGGAAATCATCGCAGGCTTTTGTACAGACAGTGATATAAAAAGTGGGTATAAGGAAACCCTCCAGCTTTCTTAGTAAAATCATTCATCCCGAAGGGGAAGAGAACTTCCATGTAGGGAGACGGAGGGGGCGATTTTGTGGTTCAGACTCCTGCTTCCTCAAATTCTTTTCATCTTTGGACTTTTACCACCACTGGTGTTCCTTTTGATGACACAACTTTTTTGGGGGGCCATTTTTGAACATCAGATATTCTGGTAGGCTTTCTAACTTTTTTCCCTGACTTGGTCTCCCACAGCAGTGTGCCTAAAAACCTATAGATGCTTGGGACCTATTTCAGAATCTGTGTTAGAGCCCTCTAGCCTAGGCAACGGTCGGACTTGATCCCATTGAATTACTGGGCTAAGATGGTAGAACAAAGTAACTACCTAAAAGCTACTACTTAAAGACTATTGGGTCAATTTGGGGAAGTGGAAGCGCCCGGTAGAGACTCTCTCCTTTGTAGGCATTCTTTCTTCATTTACAACCTTGAAGAATCTGGTTTTCTTAAGGGTGGGTTTCCTTCCAGTGGACAATGTAGGGAATGCCTGGGGCTTAGAACCATTGTAAGAGCTGGCCTACAAATTCTGAGGACTGGCCCCATGGTAAAGATAGCAGGGGAAGGGGATCGAATGTAGATAATAAGGTAGAAAGGGAACCAAAGGACCTAATAATGGACCTTAAGGTGACGGTGAACAGAAGAGAAAGTGGACACAAAGGTGACTGAGGACTGGGTGACTTGGATATATGGTTTTGTAGGAGGAGGAAAAAGATTTGGGAAGAAAGATAAGTCATTTTGGATACCCTGAATTTGAGGTAATGTTAGGGCTTCTGGAGAGGTGAACTCATTAGGGAGTTAGGACTGTGGACAAGGGGTGTGTGCCAATGATGGAGACTTGTGGTCACTTGAAGCCTTGAGGTTGATAAGAGGAAGGAGACCCAGGGCAGATTTGGGGGAAAGACCCATTTTCGATGATAGGTGCACATACAGATGGGAGGAGGGCTGGGCTAGTCTAGCATCCAAGGAAACCAGAGGAAGGGGAGCTTCTCCCTGGGATGATGGTTTTGGGAAAGCAGCCACAAACACGCTGTAGTCTGAGGGTATTATTCAGTAGAGATGGAGACATTGAAAATGCAGAAATAAATGAGGTACTTTTTTTTTTTTTTTGAAGATTTTATTTATTTATTTGACAACAGAGAGAGAGATCACAAGTAGGAAGAGAAGCAGGCGGAGAGAGAAGGAGCAGAGAGCCCGATGTGGGGCTCCATCCCAGGACCCTGATACCCTGAGCCGAAGGCAGAGGCTTAACCCCCTGAGCCACCCAAGCGCCCCATAAATGAGGTACTTAATGAAGTATGTCCAAAGCGAAATTGGTCTACAAGGGGGAAAGCTTGGTCTCTGCGAGGGGAGAAGAGCGGAGAAGATCTGTTCTTTTTCCCCACAGCTGTCTACTTAGGTTTGTTCATATTTCAAAACCAGCCCAGTCGGCCTCCCTCCCGGGAAGCTCTGGAGTTCCCTGCAGCCCAGCCACACCGTGCCTGAGTCCATGTACCGCAATTGTAGGATGCACGTGTATTTCTAGACATACGAGCAAACACTAGCATGCATACGCATATATACGGCACCCTCACTCTACACACTGAGGCCATGTTGCATATTATACAAACTGCCTAGTGGTGTTGTTTGCTAGACTAAGCTTCATGTGAGTCAGGGGCTGTGGCTTGTAATAGGAATTTGGTAGGAAGGGAAATGAAGACCACCCAAATGGGAAGAGGCAAGGGCTCTTTACACAGAGTTTGCTACAGCAGGAGACTCAGACGGCATCACTCTTGAGAGCCTGATAGCGGATCAAAGGGGGAGGCTTCCGGTTTGCCCCTGGCTTGAGGCTGGTGGCCTGGAGAAGCTGGAGGTGGTGTCCTAACAGCAGACGTTCTAAGTGATTGGTTAGGGGAGTGTACTGGGCGCTCTCTGATTGGTCCTAAGCGTGAAGCGAGGGCAACAATTAGGGAAGCCAGCTGTTAGCGATTAAATCCTGACCGTTTGGGTCTTACCGCTGGAGGCTGTGGTTTGACTTCCTGGCCTGATGATGGCTGCCTCGTGCCTCCATGTGGGCCTGAATTCTATTTTTATCTACGGCCTGGCCATTGTCTCTGTGTATATTCAGTGTCTCACTGGTAGAGTGTGCTGAATTGCCCTGAATTGTTATCAAAGACATTTCAGGGAGAAGAAGTCAGAGGCTGGGTGGAAGGGAAGTGTGAGACACACAGTTGGTAGAGCAGAAGGGTGTTGATGGGTGGGTGGGGTGCCAAGCCCAGGGGAATGGAAGGTTAGGAATGGGTGAGGAAGGATGGAACCAGTCAGTCCTGTTTCTTAACCTTCTCAGGCACAGTCCTGAGTCGGGAGTGGCTGGGGACTTGTTGGCTCAGGACTCGCTGGGTTGGGAAGGCCGGAGGGAGGACAGGCGGAGGCTTTGAGAATCTTGGGGGAGTGATGGTGGTGGAGAGGCCTGGGAGTTTGTCCTTGCTGTGTAAAGTGCACGTGACGTCACCATGTAGCAGGGGAAAGAGGAGGCATGGCGGGGGTGAGTGAATTGTTTTCGAGTGACTTAGAGTTGCTCAAAGTAAGGGAGTGGGATTCAAGCTGATGGAGAAGATCCTCCTCCCTGTCATCCACTGCTGGGGTCCTGGCCCTGGGCGTGTCCTCAGCCTTTTGGTCCTCTCCCAAAATGGGTTCCTCTGTCTCTGCAGCCCCAGGTAGCAAGTGGTCTCTTGGCCTTCGCTCTGGAGAGCAGACAGGGGAAGTTAATTGCATGGATTAAAGAAACAGTTTTCCCTGCTTGAGAATGTGAGTCAGGTGCGAGAGAATGCATCAGGGGGCGACTTGTTGAACACGAACCGAGGGTGTGGACTAAATGAAAGGCTTCTTGACTCAAGATGCAAGAGCTTTGCAATTGGGGCAGTTAGCGAGGCTTGGTTCTTGGTCTGGAGTCTACGTATGGTGGGCCCCACTGGACGTTGGTCTTGGTTGCTTAAGCTTCCGAGGTCTGAGTCAGGTGTTACCCAGAAGGCTGGGAGGATGTGGGGCAGGCAGGGGATGATTACGTAAATTAAGATATTAAGGATCCTGGACTATCAGCCCCACAAATAGGTAGGCATCTGTCTACATGACAATATTGCTTCGGATTTTTGCACTAACGCAGCTCTGTCACCCTCTCCATTGGTGTATCTGGGAGTTGGCCAGCTGTCAGTACCTTCATGTAGTCTTTCCTGGAGTTGACAAGTGGTTGTTACAACAGCATCTAATGTATTCTAATTGCTTTACATGTATTAGCTCATTTCTTACAGCAGCCGTATGAGGTGGGTCTTTATTATCCTCATAGTCAGATTTATAGGAGGCGGAGGCCCAGAGCCCCATCTAGGATGACACAGCTAGTCCAGTTGGAGAGCTGGGATTGTCCCCCCTTCATCTCACCCCTGCTCGGAACCTCTGGGCCAAGTGGCACGCCCTACCTCTCACATGACCTGTTTCCAGCCATGAATATTTCTGTCTCTCTCTACAGGGAGAGACAGAAATATTCATGTAAATCAGCCCTTTGCCTAGTGCTTTCCCGCTCATACAGCATTTCTGTTTCTCACTGAAGCCTCATGACAGAATTCTGTCTCACGGATTAAAACCAGAGGATGGGCAGGTCAATTTGCCTAAGATCACGGAGCCAGGGAGCAAGAGAGAAGTGTCCCAGCCTCGGTGGGTGCACCAAAACCCGTCTTGGCCTCTGAGTGTTGGTTGTGGTTTTAGCTGGCTTAGTT